TAATAACTTGCACATATCTGGAAGCAATGCAGAGCACAGCAATCAATAATACAAGCAACGATAATCAGGTGTTTCAGCCATCTGACATGAGCAGTCTCCAAAGATAATTCTCTCCCACAGGACATTGCTGAACATAACTTCAGTTTATTCCTAGCAAAAAAATAAATGCTTACCTGCTGTGCAGAAACAAACCTTGACAACCATTTTCCTCCTGAAAACTGGAAAGAGATGGAGGTGCAAGAAAAACCCACTGGTGCTGGTGGTGGCCAGCAGACAGCTGGAGCAAATCTCTGTTCCCCATCACCAGTGTCCTTAAAATCCTTTAAAAGACCTCAATAAACAGGGAATTTGCCTCTGTGTTCAGAAATGCCAGAAGAACAGAGGAAGCACAGATGAGTTTGAGGCTGAATTTATTGTTTGTAAAGGACAAAGCATCCTGGGACCAAGTGACACAGTGAGTATGTGTCATCACCACCTTGGCTGTTAACTAGGTTAAGTTTCAGTGTGAGCCTAACCTGGTCTAATAAAGCTGCCCATGAATGGCAGACAGCACTGAAAACTACCCCTGTCTCTGTGTGTAAGCAATCCAGATCCAACCTAGACCTACTCTCTGTCAGTTTAAAGCCTTTACCACAGCAGTTACATGTCTCTGATTAGGCTGGCTGGTTTTTCTTACTCTATTAACTGAATCTCTTTGCTACCAACCATACAGTTAAAAGAAAATGAAAAAAAAATAAAGTAACCCACAACTGTTAAAAATTAAAACAAAAATAACCTGGACTTTAGCCACTTGTATGGCCTCTTTGCTAACCAAAAGACAGAGTGAAGCCTTGGTGGTCAGATAGCATCAGTGCTGGGCTCTTCTCCTAACACTAATACCATTCATAATTGGCTGTAAAAATGAGTTATTTCTCAAGCTACTAAACCCCCAAATTCCTTTCTCATTCAGCATCACCAAAATGACATTTACATTATTCAGGGTTTTACCATTTCTGTTCTCTTTCAACCCAGAAGAGGCAGCAATAGCACATAAATTTTTATGCCTGTCCAGTACAAGGTATTGCATAAAAAGAGAGAGGGCATAGATGATATATAATTGATGTGAAGGTTTTCGCCATGCCATACCAAAAAGCAGAATAATTCAAAGCAGTTGGTGATGGAAAGTTCCTGACTCTGTGCCTCCTGTTTGGAGCTTCCCTCCTGGGAGCTCCCACAGAGCTGGTTTGTGCCTGCACAATAAAGTCATTCACTCTGGTGAGGAGTCTATTAATAAAAAGGGAGGAAACAATGATTGTCAGATGGCAGAGTATCAAATAATCAATATTGTGGGGGGTTTTAATCCTCATTCACAAGCAGTAGAGTGGCAGATAAGGATATATACCAATCACAGACAAAATGTTTAATAAAACATCTTGGTCTCTGTCACTCTAGGTGGCTTTCTGCTACATTTTATAGGTCACAGTCCATGAAATTTCATAGGAACTTTCATATATATTCTCTGTAGCAGAATATGACATTTATTTGTTATTAAACCATATAATTTAGGGAGGATGAAGATACTTTATCTGAAACAACACGTGAAGTAGTCTTTCATACAATGATATCTGTCTAATGTATCTGAATTTTGGGACTTATAAGTAGTTCTTCAAGTTTCTTATTTTTTTCCTAATGGGAAGTAATAGATGAATATGATCTTCTTATTTTTTTTTCTAATGGGAAGTAATAGATGAATATGATTTTATAATGATTGTGCCATAGGAGACCAGGATACTAGTTAAACTCAGGTTACAACCTTTGCTTGCTTTTTCACCTGCTGACCCAGACTGTCACTACATAAAGATGTCAGTTTTAATCATGAGAAACATGAGCAGCAGAGAGTTAATTGTGGTAAGTCAGTGCTAAGCATTGCATCTGCTCCCTAACACCAGGGAAGTCAAGAGAGAAGGTGTGGTGGGTGCAATTTCTATTAATTCTGGCAACCACAAGAGGAGGGAAAGGTGAGTGGGGATTAGAAATTGAGAAAGATCAAAGACTGAGAAGAAAATATTGGAAAGTTTTTCTCCAGCACAGTGGGTTTATAAGAGAATTCACCTGCTTTGGTTAATCAAATATGTTCTTTATGTTTTGGTTGTAGTACATTGTCTCTGCTACTGCTTTGGGGATGTATAGGACCTGCAAGCTGTGAGCTAAATATCCCATTTATAAAAATCCTGTGGGGCATAGCTGGGAGCAGAAGTGAAGGAGGGAAAGGCAGAGAAACAAGAGAGGAGCAGAGTGGAATGCTGGATCCGTATCACTACCCAGGATAGAACATAGCTGTGAGCCACCAAAATTGCTGGTTTGCCATAGATTCAGTAGTTACTTGACAAGTCCCTTTTTATCCATGGATCCATATTACTGACAAAGTACTAGCCCACTTTAGCTCAGGAGCAAGCCCTGGAAGTGGTCAGCACTGCATATCCACAGAGATGGTCATTCTTGCAGCTGTCTGCAAGGTATCAACTCATCTGACCTGCAACTTTTCTTATTAAAACCAGAGAAGACACTGCAGTGTGAAAGCCCTCAGGGCTTGTAACCTTACTGAAATATCTATTTTGGGAAAAAAAATACATTGTAGAGCTTTTTTAGCAGCCCAAAACCTGTGAGGGTCTGCAGATAGCTGTAATAATTCCTGCTCACTCAAATCACAAAGCATACTGCTATCAAAATTTAATCTGGGCTTTTTAGTGCATAATCATATTTCTCTCATTTTCCTCCATTCTACTGCTTGAGACAAATGAACCCCTCCTGTGCCACCACCAACCCAGAATTCATAAGCCAATATTTCACACTCAGGCCAAGGAATATAGCAAGTGGCATTTTATGATCCATTTCTCATTCCCTCCCTTCAACAATGCATTTTCAGCATATGTTTCTAAAGTTTGCTTACAGCTTTCAGTCCAAAATGAGATGACAGAGGTCACTTTCTCACCTCTGTTCATAGGGCAGCACACTCTGGCAAGAATGAGCTTTACTTGTCAGGTTACTTCCTGGGAATGGTGGTTCTTGGAACAGGAGAACCTCTGACAAGTGACCAGTGTCGCTGCTGAGCTGTGTGATGTCTTTGATTTTTATCCCTCTAAATTCATGCCTTTTGGCACTAGTTCATGGAAATCTGTTTGGAATAGCCATTCACTTATAGTGACAGTGGTTCATCTTCTGCTGCTGGAGGTGCACTTGCAATGGAAGGAAGAAGTAGTATACAGACATGGGTTATATTTTGTAGCTGGATTAGAAAGCATACAAGACCTAAATCCAAATATGATTTTCCTGGATCTTCCCTGTCCTCTCTTGATCTTCTTAGGGCTTCTACCCAAGTGTATTTCCCTTTCCTTTAAAAATCCCTGAACAGATGTGGGTTAGGCACTAGGTGCTAGAGTTACTTTCCAATCCTAGTGATTACAGTCAATTTTATGCTAAAAGCTATTCTTCAGACCATCTTTTTCTCAGAAAAAAAAGCAATTTGCCTCAATCCTTGCAAACTTTGACAATCACCCTGAATCTTAGAAATAATACCTTGCATTTGATGTGGTGTTGATTATAGATGTACCTGTGCAATTCCCTGCTCACACAACGTTTCTTATGCACACACCCCTTTCTAAACAATTATAGCCTCAATTAAGCTAATTCCCTCAGCTGGGCAAAAGTTAGCACTTTCATGTGTGAAAGGTGAAACATAGTCTGGCCCAGTTTTGGTCTGTGCCAGTGGATCCATATATCTGCCTTATTTAATTAAAAAAATAAATAAGAAAAACTCATATCAAAATCTGACATATTTTGTTTGCTATTATGGTTTGTCAGATGTTTCATTACATCTTGGACCCAGAAAACTGATGATCCTTGTGAGTCTCTTCCAACTCAGGATATTCTGTGATTCTAGGTGAAAAATATCTGAAGAAAAGGGGCTATTTGCAGTCATCTGCTGAAGGCCAAGATGATTTTTTTTCATGGAAGTACAAGGAGTGATGGGACTGGGTAGGTTGGAAGAGCTGGGGAGAGGGTGAGGACCGAGAGCTGCAACTGTGGAATCTGAATGAGGAGACACAGAAGTGAATGTTCCATCAGCCACTTCATGGCTGCCCAATGGAATTTGCAATGTTTGGTTGAAGGGCACAAAAATGCCTCAGGAGACCCAAACATTTGGTTGTAGAGGTTTAGACTGCAGGGATGTGCTTGGGATGTGCAAGGAGCAGAGCAAGGGCTTCAATCCTGAGGGAGAAAAAGCCAGAAGTTCAGCTAAGACAGGAGAGCTGCTTATTGGAAAAATACTTCTGTTGTATCATTGCTTCTACCAGAGCAAATACTTGCATAAATGTATATTCCAATAAAGCTGTGTAGCAACTTAACAGTATTGAAAGCACAGAAAAAAACTGCGAGACAACATGTTTCCACATCATTTTGCTGTAAGGGCTGATAGCCCTAAAGAAATCCCACCAAAAAGTCCATGTTTTGCAGAGGTTTCCCCAAATAACAGGGGTCTAGTTCCCTGGTACATTTTCTTGCTATACTGCTACACAGTCAAACCTTATTTTGTCAGTTCAGTGGAATTAATCACATATTCTCTATATGTACTTCAGCAGAATTAATCACACCCAGTCTTTCTATGGATTTGCTATGAATGAGAAGGTATATTAATATACAGGCAGACAGTGAATATTACAGTGAATAGTTTCCTGTTAACACAGAGCATCCTTGCATCTCTTTGAGTCGAGAATGACTAGCTTAAAGGAACATCTTTTATCTGTGTAAATGGTTTACTGGGGGGCATTGCAGATGGTTCTGAATAGAAATTTTTTTTCAAAGAAACTGAGCTAAAAGGATAACACAAGTAATTGCATTCTCTAGTGCCTCCCAGTGCTATACATGTTATCCTCTATGGGGAAAAAAAAATCAGCTATTGACAGCCTGGTGAATTTTGTAATTGTAAGTAATAAGGTTGTTTCTTTTTGTATCTCTTTTAGGATGGAATGGGGAACCTGAGAATAACAGAAAAGGGTCTAAAGCTCGAAGGAGATTCAGAATTCTTGAAACCTCTCTATGCCAAAGAAATCCGCTCCAGACCAGTAAGTTGTTCAGAAAGGAACAAGCACATTTCTGTAGCCCTGAGAATAAGAACCCATGAAGTAGCAGGGTGGTGTGGCTATTGGATCAAGTGCTTTGGCCCCTCATACAAGTGCAGTTTGAGGATTGAGACAGTGGGTGTCTTTTGAGGACTTCATCCAGATTTTATATCCTCTGGGCAGTTGCAAAGTTGAAACACATGGGTTTAGTTTGTGATAGCCAAAGTTCAAACAGTTCCAGGACCTCTGAAGTTTCATACAGTCTTTTTGTCTCCTTTTGTGATAAATCATAAACAACCTTCCACTGAGGGTTCTAGTATTTCCAAGGCAGAGGGATGGCAGACAGAAATTCAGCCTGCTTTTAACTAGTTACTCCTTTTCTGCAGAGAGCAGAGATGTGATGCCTTGGCACAAGGCTCTGATCTGTTGTTTGTTGGCACACAGAACCCATATAATGTGTTCAGTCCTATTTCATGTTGTTTTAAAATTATGTGCAGTTAAAATTCAATGCTGCTAGGAGTGACTGCTTGACAAAAGTGGCAAGAATGTTAACAACTGAAAATGAGAAGGAACCCAAGTGTGATTGAAATAACATTTTCATAGCAGCACTTCATTGACTGTCGGTGACTTTTGCTCTTTCTAACACAATCCTGTTTGTCCTGATCAGCTTTAAAATAACTGAAACGACTACAGAGAGTTTCCAGGATCCTTGTCAGATGTCATCTGTCTTGTTTTCCTGATCCTAAGTGTTAATTTGAGTCAGATACCAACCTTCCATTTTGATAACAATGGCAGATAGCTAATTAAATAAACTTAACATCCCTTTATCTTAGCATTTCACTACTCTTGTAGAAATTGGAACTTGTAGCATAATGAACACAACAGCCAATACAGTATTGGATTTAATTATTGAAGGTTGTAACCTCTGTAAGATGGCTAGGAATTGATTTGAACAAGCATAATCACTTAGGAAGAAAAGTTAATAAGAAAACCTTCATATCTACACACGTTTTCATCCCTGAATTAAAACAGAACCATAGAACCTTACAAGTCACACACTTTGTAATATGAAACGTGTGGGAACCAGGTGCAGCACTTGGTTTGATAAATAGACTGACAAATTGCTACTTACATTCCTTTTTCTCTAGTTACATTGATAGAAATAATATTTGATTACTAGGAGAACTGAGAACTACTTCTTGCTACTGGGGAGTTTGCTGCTTTCATATTATCATATTGATCTACATTTTAACATGTCAGAGGGTACAAAAGGTGTTCCTTTCTTAAGGCTGTGAAAGTAATTTCTGCCCCATTGACAGATTACTGAGTGCAAGGAACAAGAAGTATAAGGTAAGGCCTGTGTGTGTTCCTTGCTTTATCCCCCATCTAGGATTATTTTTGCTGTTATCCAGAGAGGGATCTAGCTGCTAGTCTGATCTCCAGCCTAGCAAGCTGGAGCATCCCTGCTGGCTTCAGTAGATGAGTCCTGGGAACTGTATTCACTGTTACACAAACCATGCATATAGTTTCATTGGTATAAACTGGAATAGCCTGTGCTGGCTTTCAGTTTGCTCATGATAACTCTGGAATTACTGTTGGTCTGGGGGCAACAGAAGAGGTTCTATTGCTTTCAGTCAACTCCTGCTTTCTTGTGCTGTATGGGAATTTGGCCTCTTGTAAGCAGATGAAAGAGCTGCATGCCAATCAAAGGATTATAGTTCTAGAATATTTAAAAATGTTATTAAATAATCAGCACTATGTCTTTTTAAAGAACAGTGGTATGACCCACTGTTGTCTTGGAGGGAAGCATATTTAGCAGTTCCTGAACCTGATGAATATTGTTAAAATATGTGCCAAACTCAGCACTCAGTAACAGATGAACTTCCATATAAACTCCATAGTGATCTTCTCTGGGTTTTCAGAAGTGCATAATGCAGCTTTCCATATGCAAAGTGTAACAGAAACAGTATGACAAATAACTGTAAAGAGCATCCCAGAAATAATCTGACACATACTGTTTCTCATATGTTTAATTAAACAACCTAAGAGTTGCGTGTAGTAATAAGTAATGGTTTCATGTAAACTCAGAAGACTTTCAGATACTGGTTATTTATTGAAGAATTTCATAGAATCATAGAATCAACTGGGTTGGAAAAGACCTCCAAATCATCAAGTCCAACCCTACTGTGGTTACTAGACCATGACACTAAGTGCCACATCTAGTCTCACAAAACAACAAATTTAACTTCAGGATTGTTCTGTGCAGTGCATGAAGGTGAATTGGTGCTGCCTGGAAATGGCAGGGGAAGAATTGCTGTTTGTCTAAGTAGCTGCAGTCCCATGACCTCCATGGGGTGGGTTTTCCCACTTATGTCTCTGTGGCATTGCTCCCCACACTGCCCAGCTGCAGGCAGAGCTGGGCAATCCCTGCCAAAATATCTCCAAAACATGAATTGTGAGAATTCTTGAAAGCCTGAATTTGTCACTGGTGCCTCTTCTCTGCTGCATCTCTAAAGTCCCAGGAAGGTGATAATTAAAATTACACACAGACTTGCTTTCCTAGGAGCTGTGCCTTCTGCTTTAACAGTAGTTTTGGATTTTCACTGAAAAGTGGATTTCTTTTCAAATTAATTTGGCTGGAAGGGAAAGTCAAGGTTTAGAGAGGAGGAAAAGCCTTCAAATGTCATCCCAAGAGACTGACTGTGTGAGAACCTCTGAGTTTCTGTACTCTGTGCCTGCAAGAGCCCTAGTAGGTACTGCTCCCTTCATCACCTTACAGAGCAGTTGCACTTAGATGTGCTCCTCATTGCAACTGAAATTACAGCCATGAAGAATGGAATCTGTTGTACTGTAACATGCAATAGGTAACAACCCAACACAGACATCTTTCTGGAAGTCCCTTCAAAACTGTTAGCAGAGGGATTAGACTGATGTGGTTCAGCTCCAGGCCAGAGAGGTGGCCATTAAAATCACTGACATGAACTGACTTCTTAAAGCTGCTTCCAGCCAGTTTCTTCCTACATCACCACTGACACACCCTGGGCTTGCTTTCCTTTTCCCTCACCCATTCGAGTGACCCCCCAAATCCCTCTCTCTTCATACAGAGATGATGGTCTCTGGTCCCACTTCTCTCCATCCTAGTCCTGGTCAGTAACACTGGGTTTGTAGTACGAATTAGGAGGCTGTTTTCAGGCATCAGAGCCTGCAAATAAACATAACCTTGTTATTGCATGAGCCTAAAGTTTATCTGGAGGTTAATGAATAGTAACTGGTGGTAGCAGTGTTTGCAGCCTTATAGTCTTGCTTTAAAGAAATGAGATAGATGCTTTCCCTTTTCCAAGATTGTTCAGAGCATCCTAAACTCCCAGCTGAACATATTGCACACCGAACAGTATTTTCCATGCCACTTGCATGGAACATGAGCATCTTGCTGCCTTTAATTAAGAAGTCAACTGGACCATGAAGTATTGCCTGTGTAAATAAAAGTGATTTGTACTTAGTCAAAAAGGTGCATTAGGAATCCTCACATTTCTTTTCTTGCAGATAAATTATGGAGATTATTAAAAATTGGAAGGGTCATCTATAAACCCATCTGCAGCTCAGCTGCACTGTCACTCTCAAAATGTAGCTGTCTCTCTAACTGTTGTAATTTATTGTGGACTGTCGTGTGAACCATCTGCTTGCTTATAAATCAGACCAACTTTGAGGAAAGTTGCACGCAGCAGCACAAATTGTTAATTTTATGTGCTAGAAAGCAATGGCAACAGTTTAGGGGGATTCAGCCTTCATTGACTTAATTGGAATAGAAATTTAAAACTGGAAATTTCTGTCCCTTTGCTGAGATGAGCTGCTTAGGAGCAGGTTGCCTGAAATTTAGAGTGAGCCCTGCTTTCTTAGTGCAGTTGGGGTGTTTTGAAGCTTGCCACATCTGGTCTGTAAGTAGCTTTGAAGGGGCAAGACAGAGAACAAGCTATGTGCGTTTTCCATTCTGATAACAACAGAAATAAATTCCTGTGCTGTGATTGCAAAGGAAAATCAAGTGAATTACTACTCTCAGGAGCTGTGTGACAACCAGTGAGATGATAATCTCAGCTCTGGAAAGCAAAGACATTGCCATGATAGGATTAGGATGGGTTTGCCCTTTGAATGTTCATTTCAAGTACATAGATAGGAAAAAATAAAACTCTGTTTACAAATGTTTAGACCTGGGCTGAATTTTTCTTACTCTGAATCCTTTTAAAGGCAACAGTATGGATTTGCCTGACAACTTTGACTTTGCTTCAGTGTAGGGCCCTGGCTGTTCAGCTCTCTTGCAGACTCTCCTTCTGTTGAGCTTGGGAACACAGATGTAAACATGGGCACCAACCTTTCCTGTCTGGTCTCTGCTACCTGGGGGAGCTCCAAGCTCTGTTGTTGCACAGGTATAAGAGATGGCAAAATTCCCTGAACAGATTTTGAAGAGATTTTTAAGTCTCTTTAAAAAGACATCTCAGTGTGTTTAGCTAGCTTCATGTTGAAGGTTTGCTTCCCGTTATTTTTAATCAACTGAAAAGAAGAGTTTAAAAGAAAAATCCTATACATCAAAGAAAAAAAGCCTGAGGCAAAGGACTGTGTTTTTTTCTCATTTTCCTTTCTCTGGGTGATGTTAGAGGTCTGTGTCCTGCTCACTGTAGCAGCGAGTGTCTGGCTGAGAGCAGTGTGCTTGCTCAGATTGTTGGAGCAAACCTGCCCTCATTTGAAGCCATGTGAAATAACTAGTGACTCCAGTGGAAGAAAGACTGGGGCTGTCATTAACACTTGGCTGGGATTCTGCAAGGGCATCTGTTTGGCCTAAAAAATTCACAGTTGTGAATTAGGGCTGATAACTGCTATTCCCTTTACTGGTGTTTAGTAAGTTCTCATCAGCATAAAAGCTAGACTAGCAAGTACATAAAATATGCTTCTCTGTCCTTTAAATTTTCCCCAGCCAGTATTTGAATGATAGAAATTTTAAAGGAAGCTTT